CTATAATGATAACGCATGTTAAACGGCTTATAACCCCACTTAGAACTACCCGTGAACCTCCAAAATATCAGCCGAGATTCGGCGAGTGGAGCAACATCCACGAAATAGCCCTGGTCGCAGTCTGCTTGGCTTTGAGGGGTCTGCAAGAAACAACGTGAATACGCTAACATTTTTCAAACCCACGGACATGGAACCTCCTACGGGGTGCGAGACCGGAGTAAACAAGCCCTTGCGGGATCCCTATAAGCGCTTCGGGGGTGTGGGGGGGGGTTAGGATTCAGGCTTTAGGGCCCCCTACAACCCTGAACCCTAAAGCTTCCAGTGCTGTTGTACACGCGCTGCGTCGCCAGCAACCTTTCCCAAATTCTGAACCACTAGTACAACCCAAACCCTGAACACCTTCAAAGCCTCACATCGTGCCTCCCCAAAGAGCTCAAAACCCGGTTCAGCAGTATGGTAATCAAAAATTAAGTCTCAAACCGTTTTGGGGGACACTGGCTCATTTCCAAGCAGATGGCCTGTTCTCCAAACGGACGGCCCTCCCAGAGACTCCAATATCCCTTAGTTAAGGAATCTTCCTTAACTCATATTACGGATCCTACTATAATTTAAGGAATATTCCTTAACTAAGGGATATTGGAGTCAAGGGCTCTGCATACACTGGTTGGGTAAGCCAAAATAGTCTACACGAAAGATTTGAGGCATTATCAAGCCGTATGACTCTCTGCAATACAAAGCCTGACAAAAGATCCGGATAAAGGCTCTAGGGGTCTTGGCTCCCCGGATGGCTGCTATAGGGGCCTTGATAATTAGAATAGGGTTTTGGGGCCCATTGTACTATAACTATAATAAGGAACCCCCAAATTAGTACAGGTAATTATTGAGGCCCCTAGATAACTGGACTCAAGTCTAGCCAGACGTCGACCTGCAATCATCTTGACTGAAGCCAACTCCAAGTGCTGTATTGTAAACCCTTTTTGCTGCAGGCTTGCTTGCAAGGACGCCTGGTAGTTTGCCGCTCTTCCGCCAGTTAACCTTGAATCCTAAACCCTGAACCCTGACCCTAAACCCTAAAAACCCTAAACCCTGAACCCTAAACCCTAAACCCTAAGCCCTGAACCCTGAACCCTAAACCCTAGACCTTTGGCCTGAACATCCTGGAACCCAGGGGCCAAGCAAGAAGGGGGAGCTGAAATGGGTCGCTTCGGCTACGGGGAACTGTAAGGGCACTATAAGACTATAAGGATACTATAAGGGTATTATAAGGATACTATAAGGGTACTATAAGAGCTTCGTAGCTGTCCAGTAGTTCAGGGGAACTCAAGGTTTAACCTTTGGAGAAATATGCGTAGGGTTTTTCGTACCCCAAAAGGGTTAAAGGTTACCATACTCTACTACTGGAGTGGTTGTCAAAATTATGGTCCCTTTTTGGTCCCTAATAAAGTACGGCACCTCTTATTTGGGGTGCCCTAAACCCTAAACCCTAAACCCCAAAAAGGGACCCTAATTTTGACAACCACCCTATTGCAGTTTGAAGGGCTCCTTTGACGTCCAGTCTCGGACGTGTCAGAATGCTAAGAACTTACCTTGGGTTGGTAGGGAATGGAAGAATGGCAGTATTAGTAGTAGTAGTAGTAGTAGTAGTAGTAGTAGTAGTAGTAGTAGCAGTAGTAGCAGTAGTAGTAGTAGTAGTAGTAGTAGTAGTAGTAGTAGTAGTAGTTAGTAGTAGTAGTAGGAGTAGGAGTAGGAGTAGGAGTAGGAGTAGGAGTAGTAGTAGTAGTAGTAGTAGTAGTAGTAGTAGTAGTAGTAGTAGTAGTAAGCCGCCACAAGTGCTCAAGCGGCCGCGCTGAATGAGAGGTTTCGAACAGGCTTGGGGCGCAACTGCTGTGCTAGAGGTCCCAACTGGGCTCTTTTCTGAACAGTAAAGGTTTGTGCCTCCTTCTACGCCATGGTCCTCTCCCTTTTCTCACAGGAGCTGCTTTGAGCCGCCAGGTCCCAATTCCTGGGCCCAGACTCTGTTTAAAACATTGCAACACTGGGTAGGCGGTAGGGTTTCCACCTCCGCGCGGTGGAGGGAGTCATTAGGCTTCTGTCTCTTGACGAAAGTAGCGGATGGCGCAATTGCCAGTGCACTCACAAAACTTTGCATCTCTTCGTAAGAATTCGTTCAAGACAGCATGTAGAAGGACAGTCCGTAGTGACGGGCCCGTACCATACCGAGGGCAGGTTCTGACACCTACCCTGGTTGATCGTCTGGGGGTGCGCCCCCCACCCACTCGAAGAGAGCTTCAGTCACAGACTGCTGACTCCCCTGCATATGGCACAGCCTCCCGCAGGGCAGGAAGGTTGGAAAGATCCATTCGAGTTCTTTCGTGGAACGCGGGCCACCTAGGCCAACAGCAATGGGGCGAACTCAAAACATGGCTAGCAGCTGAAGCCTCTCATCACTGCGACATCCTCATATTGCAGGAAACGCACTGGACTGAGACCAGTGAATTCAGCGTTTCTGGGTGGTACTGTATCTCCTCAGCCTCGGAGTCTACCAAACCCAACACCCGGCCTAAACAAGCAGCGAAGCGAAACACTCGGCAAGAACCGCGAGCTCCATCCACGACTCGCGCTGATGGAGTCATGATCCTATTCTCTCCCAAGTTCGTCCCCAAGAGCTTACGCTGGAAGGAGTGGAGCCCGGGTAGAGTCTTAGAAGCTCGTGCGGACATTGCAGGTACTCGGCTGGTTGTTGTCGCGGTGTACCAACACGCTTGGTCTTCTGCCAAGACCATCCAGTCCAATAAGGACGACCGTGCTAAGGTGCTATCTGTCATGTCCAAGGTGATCAAGCAGGTGCCTAAGAGGGACTCCCTTATTGTAGCAGGTGATTTTAACACTTCCTTGCGTCCGAGCTCTCCATTGGTGGGAACGCACGTGAAGCCACCTACTGAGGACCGCCCTGACGAATCCAACTTGTTTAACCTGCTGCTCAGGTTGCGTTTGGTTGCCCTTAACACCTGGCAATGTGACCATATAGCTACCTTCTCACAAGGAGGAGTGGAGTCGCAAATTGACTTCATTCTAACCAAAGAATCTACGGCGGGAGGCAAAGCAAAAAGGTCAGCCCCCTGGGTGGACTGCCCGTTGGGAAGCTGGAAGAAAGGAGGGCATTACCCGCTTAAAGCTGACGTACCCCTCCAGCATCACTGGCTGCTCCCATCCCATAAGCCCAGCACGCGCCGTTACGATTCACTAGCTCTACAGGCCTCGGTCAGAGAGGAGGACGAGACGGCAAAGGCACTGCACAGCTGGATAGCTTCCAGAATTGACACCTGCCAGGACCCCAAGGCATGGAATGCGTTGCTTTTGGAAGGTGCAGAACGCTTTTTCCCAAAAATTCCCAAAAGAAGACCGATCCTGCTGGAATCGGAAACCCGTCGCATGTGGCGGGCCCGCACCCATGACAGGGCTGCGAATACCACTCCCTCAGCACAGCTGATCGAGTCACCTAAAGCAATGGCACAGCCTCCTAATCAGAACACGCCACGTCCGCCGGAAACAGAAGCTGAGCTGGCACAAGTGGCACATCGCCAAGCTGTGAAACAAGCAAAGAAAGATCGAATTGCGAGTTTCATATCGGAGGTGGATGCGAGTCTAGCTGAAGGTGATCAACATATCTCCTTCCAGACCCTCAAAAAGCTGCAGCCTTGGCAGCCCGCGCGCAGAGCTCAGCTAAAGGACAACACAGGACATCTCCTAGGTCCAGCGCAGGAACTAGCAGCCCTCAGGGACTATGCCAATCAGGTATTTGCGGCCCACCCTCCGTTACGGACAATGCATGGAGCTTTCCCCGCTTTGGAGCCACCCAAACTAGCAGCTCACATACATTCCATCAAGCCGAACAAAGCTGTTCCTGACGGAGCGGCACCAGCGGCTGTATGGAGGCTGTGTAGCGATCTCGTTGCACCGGTCCTCTCCGAACACGTAGCATCCAAGCAGGCCGAGGACAGTCTAGAATCCGACCTAGTAGACGCAGATCTCTGTTTAATACCCAAGCCGGGCAAGCCCTCTGACAGACCCGCAAACCTGAGACCCCTGGGCATCCTTAGACCTGACGCAAAGGGACTGGCGGGAGCAGCCAGAGAAGCGCTTCAACCACTGACACTCTCGTTCCTCAAGCACATGCCACAATTCGCTTATCTACCAGGTCGGGGGCTGTCAGACGCGCTAGAACGCGTGGTGCATCACTTGCGAGAGGCTCGATCCCTGTTAGAACAGGCTCACCCCACGAGACATGCCTTGCAACAAGGCACACAGGCCCCAGCCTTAGTCGGCGGCCTCACCTTTGCTCTTGACCTCAGCCAAGCGTTTGACACTGTCTCTCGCCAAGAGATCATCGACCTTCTTCAGAGAGAAGGGGCCGATCAGGACACAGTCCACCTTGTTCAGGCTCTACATGACGGGTCTCGTTATGTTCTTCACGCGCAGGGAGATTCCACCTCTGTTGAAACCACAGCAGGCATTAAACAAGGATGTAAGCTTGCCCCCACACTCTTCTCATTCCTTACAGGTGACCTTTTCCGCTCTCTGGTCGACCTTTTCGGTGCTGAGCAGCGGCTTGGCGCTTCTGACTGGGGTCCGGGGTCATCAAGAAAGAATCAAAGGACACTTGCCCCTCCCTGGCGCTCTCTTTTTTATGACACTGACACTCGTGCCGGCGAGAAGACCTGGCACAGAAGGGCAGCATGTCAAATCGGTCAAATCGTGATTGGAAGCTGGAGTGGAGGCATGCACTGTTCTTTTAGACGCAGCCGAAGGTCTGTGACGCACAGGCACTGACATGTGCCATGCGATTGCAAAAAGCAATGACACTGACGCGGTCATTGAAGCAGGGAAGCATGTGCTGTAGTTGCTGTGACTCTGACGCGATTTAGTGGGCTGGAGCCTTGATGCACTGATGCACAGCACATGGAGCCCTTGATGCGATGCACAGCACATGGATCCCCGCATCAGCTGGAAAGGAGAACCACTGATTTGCCAGGAATCTCCAAGGCCTGCTTACTGAAGATCCTGAAAATGATGCTGTCATTGACAGGCTGCAAAACGAACTCTCGGCCACCCTGGCTTGCCTCTGACGCTTCCGTGGCAAGAGCTGCTGTGACGGCCGCCTGCGGCGTACGGTTTGGGGTTTAGTTTAGGGTTTAGGGTTGACCAGTTTATTTTGCAGACCCTGGTCGAGGCCTGAACGCTCTGGAGCACAGGGACCACGATGAACCGTGACACCGGCACTTTGCTGGGCAGCGGGACTTCCTCGTCCACCTTTGCCACGAGGAATGCTCCAGCCTCATATTGAAAAATCTTCGTATGGCATGGTATATGAGGCTGATTATGTTATGACTGGGCTCAGGGCTCAGGCTCAGGTAGGCCAATATGCTGCGAAGTAACATTGGCAGGGCGAATTTTGGCTGGATCTTTCTGGTCCTCATCCAAAATGCCGGCCACGTCTGTGAGGGGCTTGAACGACAAGCTTCGATTGGATGCCACCGTCGTGCGCATATTCCACATCAAGAAGTCTGGCCTGGGTAGCACGGGCAACATGTAGTTGGGAGTCACAACTGCACAGACGAGAAGCAACAGGTTGGCAAGACACTGGTTATCAGTCTGGTAATCCTGACCCGAAGCGAGCTTTTACACTGGAAATCTGGCCTCAATGTCTTTGCCACGTTGACCCCAAGATCCTTGAAGACCTGTCCGCAGGATTGCATCTTGAGGCCATTGGTACCCGGCTTCTCGAAGGCGATCTTGAGGCTGGCGGCATTTACGGCTTCACTGACACTGCCTCCAAATTCCCACCGGAGAGCCGCACGATCCTTGGCAGAAGCCATGCCCTCAGCATTCAGCTGTACGAGCTTCATCTTGCCCAACCCACAGATTTCGAAGTCCTTGGGTATCTTGATGGCCGCCTCGCTCTCATTGCAAAGCCAAACTGACACTGAGACTCCCGAGGTGGACGCCGCGGTCGAGGCATTGGCTTCGCCGATGGCAGTGGCACAAATGCAAGAATACCCTTTAGGGTGTGACTCTGACTTGCCCAGGATCTTGTACTTGGCCTCGAAGCTCGCCAGTGTCAGTTCCTTGTCTGTGATCTCTGCAGCCGGGGCCGTGCCACTGTCCTGATTCTGAGTGCCTTCAGTGTTGTTGGCACCGCTGACACCGCTGCCACCAGGCCTCTCGGCCTCACCCAAAGCCTTCGCCAACTGCTCGAATTGCTCGCGAGCTGTCGAGATCCTGGCGCTGCCACCAAGCTTCTCCGGGCAGCTTCTGAGCTGCAACAAGCCTGCCGCCGTGATCTCCGAGTGCTGCGAAAGCTGGGCTCTGACATTGCCGATGGCACGCTGCATTGACTCATCACTTGGCTGCTGGTTCTCCCATCCAGGAGGGATGGCCGGCAGGCGGGTGTGCTGCGGGATCTGCAACCTGTCTGACCGGAAGAATTCCAGCACTGTCTCCACTGCGTGAATCTTGTTGATCTGGACCCGGTGTTCCATGCTGTCGGAAACCACGGCAGCCATGCGCGGGGCTCTCTTTCCAGCAGACTGCCTGCTGCAAAGAGCCCTTGTGAACCCGGAAGACCAGTCCGGGTTTCCGGCACACATGACGTAGAGCTTCACTCCCTTGATGGATTCCGGCAGTTGCTGCATGAATTCCTCCAGAACCTTGGCCACCGCCTCTGACCCAAGTTGCGCTCGCTGGCCCTCATTGACTCTGTTCATTGGGAGTTGCTCTGTCTCCCTCTCTGACCGTGCTTTCTCTGCGGCTTGCAAACTGATCTTCGTGAACATCTCGGCCGCTGGCACTTTTTCCAAGTGCCCTTTCATGAAGACACTTGCCTCCATCCATGCCTGCGACTCCGATGCCTTGACGGGCACCAAAACCTCGAACTCTCTGGTGAAGCGACCCAGCAGCATCTGTGACATTGTCAAAGTGAAGCTCGAAGAAATGTGTTGGTCCGGCACCTGCTCGAGAGCAACAAATGAACATGACGTGAGAGCAAGAAGAGTGCATGTTCGGCGGTTGCACCGGGCGGCGGAGGGCATGCCGCCTAGCCTGAAAAGAATCCTCTATGGTCCGGCGGAGGAACCGCATGTCGCCGCTAAGCAACTGCCTCTTCTGCATGATGCTCAGAGACTTGGCCGACCTGGATCCGGTTGCCGGCAATGCTGTTGCCAAGGAGTCAGCCGCATTTTCGGCGATTTCTTCATTCTCATTCTCGGAAGATGAACCACTGGAACTTGACGCTGTCGCCACCGTCTTTGTAGTGCCATCGGACCCTCGCTTGTTTTTGCGATGCCTAGCTCAACCGTCACACATCGACAGAGTATGATCATATGACTATTGGGCAGCATAAGGGAACGGCTACACTGACAGCAGTCTGGCCTCTTCCGACACAAGACCGGCTGGGCGACAAGCTTCACTGCATGCGGAAAAGCCATTGCCACCGTCAAGGCAGGCTCCGCAGTTTTCTTCTGCAAGCGTCCCTGTGATCGAAGATCTACGACAAACAGCTCGGCCACGTTCTCTTCTGGCACGTCTCCAATGGCACTTTTCATGAAAGTGGCAGCCTCCGTCACGAAGGTGTTCCTGACACTGTCCAGCTTCTTGGGGTCGGCCTCGATTTGAAGGATCCTGCACTGCGGGCTTCATCTGAAATCTTCACTCAGTGCATTCAAAAGAGTAACAGCCACTGACACATAATACGCATAACAACTGGAAGTATCGTCAAGAGGACAGCCAAGGAGCTGGAGGTACTTCGAAAGGAAGGCCGAAGCTGCATTCCAGTCGTTGTCTTTGCACCTCTGCTCGTGCTTGACCTTCGCCGTAGACCATTTGGCGAGAGTGTCCATGTGGCCTTGTCGGAAGTGTTTGTACACGGCCATGTCGTTCTGCAGCTCGCTGCAGTAGGTGTCGCTTAAGATCTCAAGTTTCTTCTGCTCGAGGTCCGAGAGGTCCACCGGTGCCATGGAGGCCATGGTGATGGACGTCTCTTCCAGCAGGAGGCGCACCGAGGGGATCATCTGCCGGGCATACTGGTCAAGCTCAGACATCCTGGGCTTCGAACATGAACAAGCAGGCCATTTCATGACTGTGCTGCGGCAGTGCTGCGATGAAACCTACCTGACATACCTGAACTAAAATGCGGCCCAGATCAAGAAGTTCTCGGGCAGTCCACTCACAAAGGAATCGAAGAAGCCATCCATTCGGCTTTCATGGAGGACAGACTGCCACCATGCATCCCGTTCTGACACTGCCACCCGTGCGACAGTGAGCACGTTGTCGTAGATGTGAGCAGCCACAATGATTTTCTGCATGACCCTGGCCTGAATTCCAGCACGGATATGAGTCTTGTAGCTCTGGCGACTATGACTAAAGGACGAAGGCCAAGAGTAAAATGCGACCAAATGGCCGCTTCATCAGGACTGACCCCGTTTCGATGATCGTCCTGCATCCATTCAATGAACGCAGTCTGTGCCCTCAGTGTGGTGGTCAGGATCTTGCGATGCTCGGCATGGCTGGTCTGCTTGCAGCACTTACCGACGTAGAGGGCCTCCCAAGTCACCAGGAGGGATACCGACATGCAGCACAGCCTGATGACAATCACGACATGACACAAATTGCTTTTCCGTCTGGCCTGCATGTCGAAGATCTTGAGGCTCCACGTGCATTCGCTGCTCCCCCATCCAACCTTGCCGAGGTATTGCAGTATCTTCTGCCGGTTCTCCGCCGTCATGGTGCCCAAGTTCTGCACCCTTGTATCAGCTTTGCCGGTGAACATCATGTCCTGTTTTCACAGCTGGAGTCTCACTTTCTGCTTACTAACTGACTAATTGCACGAGTTTCGGCCACACTGGCTGTCCAAGCCGACCGAAGTCCTTGTCGCCAAAGACCTTGGCGTTGTAGCTGTTTATGACGGCCCGGAGAGTAGCAGCTTCTGCGCCCACCATGAGTATGCAGGCCTTTGCAGATCGAGATGAGTGTGCGATTGGCAACCACTCCCCTGACACAAGCACGCCCCTGACTCGGACACTCGCACTGCTACACCGTGCCTCCGTCACGGAGACCGGATCCAATGCCCTGTTGGTTTTCGCAGCAAGGCTTGACTCACCTCACACGCGAATGCACATAGGCACTGAGCCACAGCCACGACCCAGCACGAAGATACTGTCATTGCATCTGCTCACACTCTCCAGTCGAGTCAAGCAGCGGAACACATCAGTCAGCCGCTCAGCGTTGGCCTTGTCTGGCTTGAGTGCTGTGCTCGAGGCCTTGCGGGCCGTGCCGGTCAATGTGCCTTGAATGACACTGAGGCTCTCCACGACAACCTTAGCTCGTCATGCAGTCCGGCATTTCCCCCGAGCTTTCTTTGCTGCTAGTCCCAGCGACCTTCGGCACCTTGCCCGGGAAATTCAGGGCACTGAAAGCAACCCACATCGCTGCTGCCAGCACCACTCCATTGTTGTAGGCACCATCCGCTCCAAAGAAGCAAAAGTTCCCGCTGTATTTTGGCATATCTTCTGGAGGAGGAACCTTGGCTGCTGACTGCTGCTGCATAGAAAGAAATCAGTCTGCAGGGGCGATCCGTAAGACCCCGCAAAACGCCTCACAACGCTCCAGCAAACTTGACAAAGATGGAGCGCCCTGAGCCTTTAGTTATAGCCGCAGGGCGGGGAAAAGAGCCATGGTCTCCTGGAGGCCCTTCTGGGCAATTGCCCGAGCCTTGTACAAAACATCCTGCCGGAAGGGGATGATGGGATACGCCTGGCGTCTGTACCTCATTTGTTTGCAAGACTCCAAGGGTCCAAGGCTGCGCCAAACTGTTGGGTTGCTTGCACATGCAGCCCAGGCTCGGGTTCAGCATCGTGATGTGCAGCTGGCCCTTCCTCGGCAGCTTCTGACTCTGCAAGCCAGTGTAGCAGACTCCTGTCAAGTGACAAGTGAGTGTGGGTGTGTTCATGCAATGCAAAACGCGGCCCACGGCTGGCCGCCTTGCCTGACTCTGACTCTAGCGGCGAAAGGGCCTGCCGCCTAGCTTTACTTTACTTTACTTTACACTGACGCTGCTACTAATTACCTTGTAGTCTACCCTGTCTAATCTAACGGACTCTAGCGGCGAAAGGCCGTGCCGCCTAGCTTTACTTTACCTTGACACTGCTACTAACTACCTTGTAGTCTAGCCTGTCTCATCTAGCAGACTCCAGCGGCGAAAGATCCTGCCGCCTAGGTTTACTTTACACTGACACTGCTACTAACTACCTTGCAATCTGGCTGGCCTGTCTAATCTAGCGGACTCTAGCGGCGAAAGGTCCTGCCGCCTAGATTTACTTTACACTGACACTGCTGCTAACTACCTTGCAATCTGGCTGGCCTGTCTACTGGGCGGATTGTTGAGAGGAGCGGGTGTAGCAGAGGAGCAGATGCCACAGGATATGCGAAAGCAAACAGAAGAAAGGACGAGAGAGGAAAGAGGAGACTAAATACACATGTAAGAGGTGAAGAAAGGCGAGCTACGAAGAATAGAACGATGTGGAATGGAACTACCGATGAGCTGCAGCCAAAGAGCAGGAAAACATCGAGCAAGACATCAAGAAGCACGACAGGCGAGAGCTAGCAGGAGCAGACAGCAGGGGCAAACACGCATATATATAAGCAACAACAATAGTCAGGAAAATGATGGCTTAAGGGGTTTTGGCACTGCAAATGCTTCCACCGGAGATTACGATTGCCGGCCTTCGCCCTTTTCGAAGGGAAACACTGCTTTCATCTTCTCGTAAATGTCGCTCTTGTCCGGGCATTTCTCGGCGAGCACTGTCCAGACGGATTCCGTCTCCTTCCAGCTGCTCACCCTTGGCTGGCCAAGGAGGACAGCGTTGGACAATCGGACAATGTACAGGAGGGGAAATCCCTGAAACCAGAAGTTTAGAGGCAGTAGAAAGGAAGCAGATTGGAGATGCACAGCAAAATATACATATATATATATATATATGTATATATATATATATATATAGATGTATGTATATCGTCTGATTGATGCTGGGGTTTAGGGTTTAGGTTGACATGAAAGGGGCCAGCTCAGGTTCTCTATTGGCGGGTGAACAACCCGATGCTTTGGGAATTCTGGTCTCAATGATTGGAAGAGCTTGCAGAGAAAGAGCAAAAAGCTTGAATAAGCAACGTCGCTATGAGCCCTCGAGTGTCCTTGGAATCCTGTAAACCCCACACTGGACGCTGATAGAGGTCTTTCACAAGTAGTTGTGAAGCACGGAGAACGCGGGGCACGGGTTGCTATTGTTTATGTTTGCAAAACTACACGTTTAACCATGTGGCAAACACTGAACCCTAAAACCCTCAGCGGAACCGCAAAACCCGTAAGCCCCAAAACACACTTAGCCCTGTGAGCCCCGTCGCTTCGTCTTTGAGGCTGCGGCCCTCCCCCTGAACCGCCTCAACCCGAAGCCCCCAAAAAACCGACTTGCTCAAAAACCCGAAATCTCTAACAGACAGCCTTTTACCCAAAGAGGCGTGCAACCGTCGATCGGGCCCGCCTTTTTTTACCCACGCACCCCGAGCGGACTCAGCATTTCAGCTTCTGTATGTGACATACAACGGCCTCGGTGAAAGCATCGAGCTTCATTCGCTTCCTTTTGAGAGCCACCACACGCGTCAGGAGCTCTCTGGCGCTCTTCTGTGCCATTCGATGAGAGGGCGAAGCCAGCAGAGCATCCACTGTTCGCTGCCACATGGTTCCCCACGGTCCAGATGTGTTCGCAGCACGCTTCTTCAGCAGGTCGTCGACGGCAGCGGGCGGAAAAAGGTTCACCACGTTCGTAGACAGGAGATCGAACATGACGCCTTGGCGGGACATCTGAATGACCATGTCTTATATTCTAATCACAAACAACAGAACTATGACTATCTCTAAACACTAAGGGTCTTTTGAGAAAGTCTGACAGAGCTCAGCCAAGTCACAACCAAGGGCGAAGATGTCAGCCTCGGGCCCCGTATGGCAAAGATCCTGACCAGCCTCCAACAGCTCTGGAGCACGGTAGCTCGTACAAAAGGCCTCCGCGCCGACGGTGGCGACCACGCCCCTGACGACCTTCCCCGCCATGCCGAAGTCAGTGATCTTGATGCACCGGCTAGCCGGAAACGCCAACACGTTGTTCGGCTTGAGGTCCAGGTGCAGCATATCATGCGAGTGGATGTGCTGCAAACCCAAGCACAACTGATGCAGCCACTGCCAACGCTGCAGCAGCTGCGCAATCTGACCACTCTCATTCTCCGACCCCTGGAATCCAGTCTGCTTGCAGCCTTGAAGCACTTGGAGGAGGGTGCTATCGGCCTTCTCCATCAGCAGCGCCACGGTGTTCTCCGGGCCAAGGGCAAAACCATAAACAGTTACGATGTAAGGGCACTGGAAGCGGCTAATGATTTTTAGCTCTTTCTCCAACTCGGCAAGGCACTTGCAAACCTTGCCGGCCACGACAGCTGCAGAGAGCATGCTCTCAAAGGCCCACACAGTGCCGTATGTCCCGCTCCCCAAACGTGACACTCGACGCCATGTCTCGCCAGTGGCTTGCCTGAACACGAGCCCTTCAGAGGCATGCGAAGGACGCTCATCTCTGACATTGCACTCCTCGGCATCGGACCCGCAGGAGATTGCCAGCAATCTCTCTTTCTCCTGCTGGACATGATTTGCCCGGCACCGGGCATCGTCCCTGAAGCTCTGCTTTGTCTCCTCGGGCAAACGCGCCCACTGAGCTGACGGGTTTGTATTAGTCATGGTCTTCGCCCTCAATCGCCGCTCCGGTCGCAGGCTCGTGCCCTTGGCCTTCAGGTGTGCTTTGAACAAAGCGAAAGAATTTGGAGCTTTCTGCAGCCCCAGATCATCCAGTCTCGTATACGACATTGCACAAAGCAAGATCTAAGAAGTCTCAGATACTCTGACTCCGACTTCGGGAAGCAATTGCTACGCATCTGACAAACTCCATGCATTGTTCACGCATCAGGAATCAAATCACGACCATTTCTGTGGCCTGTCGGGCGTGTAGGGTAGGCGGCACTAGGGACAACGGGTATTCCAGTGTCACTTTCATCCATTTCATCTACAGCGAGCTGTAACATCGAAATGCTGTCCAGGATTCAAGTTCTGGTGTTACCTACCTTGTATCACGAAACTCATGGCACATGACTTTCACAAGACAGAAATCACCATCACTTGGGCCTATGAAGCAGCAGGAAGCAGTGACTCTCGCATCGGCATCTTGTAACAGGAATCTATCTGTTCATGAGATCAAGCACAGACTGAGCACTTCCATGCATGTTCACTGCTGCCCAAGACTCGTCTGCTCCACGAAGGCTTCAAACAAGCTTGTGGACTCATCGTCAATGGCATCCTGCCCGGAACCCTAGAAGTACCGTGGTGTTACGACTGTTAAGACATGGCATGGCAATGGTATCGTCATGACGGAAATGACTCTGTACGGCTCCTCGGCAGCCTGCGACATTGCCAGTGCAACGGCCGCTGCCATATCCGATCCGTACTTGAACCAGATTGTCACACAGATGCTGACACTGACTCAATGCAAATAACATGCAGTTCCCAACTTGTTGTTCATATCTCTCAGCACCGTAGGCCCTAGGCATGTGGAAAGTGTCTCAGCGACGCATCAGCTCTGCCACACAAGCAAGCCAGGAGCACCAATCCTACCAACTTTGCTCCGCCTAGCCCTGCCGCCGCCGCCGCAATCACCTGGCACTTGCATTCGCCCCCCGCTTCAATGCATCTCAGCCATACCGTACTTACTGACCGACTGCCGGATCTGCCCTGCAATCTGCAACATGTTATTGTAACACTCCGCACAAGTGAGAAGTGGTTTGATTCATGCGCAACGGCACCAAGGGCACGGCTCTGGCTTTTGCATGGTGGGCCGGCGCCTGCAAGCACTCGGAAACGACCCATGCTCATCATGCCAATGGACATCTACTCGGATCGTCGCTGTCGGTTATAAGATTATTTCAGGACTTGGGGACTTATTGTGAGGACCACGGGACTTGTTAGAATATCAAGTATATGAACATAACAAGTCTGATAAGTTAACTTACCTAAGCCTAGCTTGTCTGACTTCTCTGGTATTGTACTTACCGTTTGTTCAGGATACATAGTAAGTGCAGCACTAATGGAGCAGCAGTTGTTGTCACCTTCATCTTGGGTCGGGTCCGGGTCAGGAGGTTTTGTCTCTAATTGGACTTATGAGATCCAAGTACCTGTTCCGTCCAGACATGTTCGCTATCGCTCTTCCAATTTCCCAAACACTATCTCCATCTTCAATCTAAAACAAAGCCACCACCCAGGACCTGAAGGGCTTCTGAAGCTCTTGTCTATATTGATGATGATCAAAGTACAGGAAAACCACCAAATCTCACGTGTCTTCTCCGTGATGTGCACGGCAGTGTCAAAGCAACTCTGACTCTGTACACTGACACTCTTCTGTGAGAATGACGGGAGCGACGCACCGAGTCGCACTGAAGTCTGACTTGCGAGCATGGCGAGA